TTTCGGGAGAGAAATATGCATGAATTTTACTTCAAATATATATTTATTGGAGTGCTTCTACTTTATATACATAAGTCAAAATTACTCTTTATATATATATATATATATATACGTAGAGAGTTAAGAAAAATGCGAGGGTGGACAACTTCTGACGTAAAAAAAGAAAATATTTATAAAAAACGTTTCGGTCAGAGACCTTCTTCAGTTATTTACAACTTTTGAATAAAAAAGAGCTCTAAGTAAGATCGAAGTGCTAATGATTACGTAATTACAGGTGACAACTAATCAATAAGATACAAAATCACGTGAATGAGCAGAAAGTGTTGTTAATAATAAGATGACAAAAAACAAAACGAATAGCGCAACTGAAGAGGCAATGCGGCAAGCATTAGAAAAGGGTAGACCCACAACTGTAAACCGTACCAAAAACCCAAAACAAGGCCTTTGGAGCCTGATAGGGCAAATTAGCAACAAAAATCCCTGGAGGGGCCCTTAAATAATATTAATCATATTAAGATCCCTCGGCAGGGTCTCTGAGTCCAGAGATTGATTGGACAACACGCTGTGCTTCTCTATCCACTTTGCTTTTCCCGCCTTATGAGAAATGAGCAGAAAGACTTGGCGGAGGAAAAAGCAGTTGGATCATAAATAACCCAATAAACTATTCATTGGTGTGTAGTATTACCTGGTACTTTCACTCCTTGTTTGAATTTGACGAGCCTGTGGGGAAAGTCAAAATACGACACAACTCATAAAAATACTCAGGTATGCCACCGCCAGTTAAAGAAAATCCGAAAAAATCACCATGAATCTTATTTCGCAAGATGATCATCTCGCAGCTGGAGCTTGGGCTGCCTGTGGTGTGTGTTCAAATAAATTGTTTTTTTCTTTCTCTCAAGGTGAGGTAACGCGATATTTTCGTCCATCAGAAAGTTATGCTCTCTTTCTGTTACAAAAATGAAAACATTATGTACACAAAGCTACGATAACAGTGCGAATGGTATTAATTTCACGATCAGAAACGTGAATCTTATGTTTGTTTTCATTGTAGTTGTATGGATATTCTTTTTTAATAAA